GCTGGGTGAGACAGCTGTACAGAGCTGAAGCTGGGCGGTATGGTTACAGGGCGCTGCTGGGTGAGACAGCTGTACAGAGCTGAAGCTGGGCGGTACTACTCACCTTTTAAAAGCAGATTCTGACCATTGCAGTCGCCACTCCACTCGGTCCAGTCAGCTAGTTAGCTAACTACGCAGCTGAAAATGCTCGTTTTTGGGAGCTGAAAACGTCACCCGGCAGGCGGCGCTGTCTTAGTAAGGCGTGTAAGAGACTGTCTTATCGAGGTTTAACACTCAAACAAAACTAAAACACGCTAAACAATCTCGATAAACTGACCGCGTTAACGACGTGACTGAGTCACTCACTGTAAACCATTTTAACGGCCGCGTTTGGCTTTAAAAGGAGGAACAGCGGAGAGCACTCGCACTTCAAAACCGAACGTCCAAGTGGCGGAGTCCCGCGCTCTGATTGGTCTAAACTCCCGCCAGTCTTTTGTTTGTCCTCCCATAGAGCTTTTTTTTTCTGGTTTGCATCTCTCTGCTCTACTGAATGAACTGTGCTGTTTTGTTTTTGTTTGTTTGTTTGTTTTTTTAATCTAGACACAGAATAGAAAACTGCAAACCCTTGAAATACATAAGACAGCTGTGCAGCATTATCATACAGCATCACTGGAGGCCATGTCTTAATATATTAAAGTCGAAGTATGAAGTTGGACATTTAAACAAAAATCTGTTTATTATGTAATTTTACGTGGTGAAACAATATAGGTCTTTATATTACTACTCAAACACATTTGTTTATTATTGTTCGTGTTTTCCAAATACTGGAGATAATCATTTTGAAAGTTATACAAATTAAAAGTCTAACTTTGGGCAGCCCTGATCTGCTTAAGAGAATAAACAGAAGTGTAGATGTTGAAGTGAGTGAACCAAGGGCTTTTTTTGCATTAATTTAGGTGGTATGAGATCTCTAAAGTACCCAGGTTAGCTGTTAAGTACATTTACTTCCTATAGTTCAAAGTTGTTTTATCTTGGTTCCTAGCTTGTTGTCTCTGGTTACAGTTGTACATTTGAAAATAGATCAATGTTGTGTTAATCATAGCATGTTTTCTGCAAATGAGCAAAAGGCTGTGACTGACTGTGATTATCTCCTTTGGTAAATGTTACAAATTAAAAGTTATTCTACCATGAACTTCAATGATATAAGGAAATGAGTTTAAACATTTTAAGGTTAATGGTTTAAGAATTGATTTTTTCTTTTGCTATTTTGCCACTGTAAACACATTTCTGCAATAATCAAAAAACAAAACATACAAAAAAAAAATCACGAAAGTACAGCAAGTAAAACCTCAGTGAATGTTCTTTCAGTAATATCACACAAAAACCATAAGATTACAGCAGACTGTTTCTTGAGGACATACTTATATTCTCTCTTATATAGTTATATTCTCATTATATTGTACATTAGGCAGTGGCTGTGGTAATCCTGGTAATCCTCAGTAGTAATTTTCAGTTTGGCAGTATCACAGGAATACCACACTCATACCACAGGACCTTTTGTAATCAACTGAACTGTCTTAAGACACAACATCCCTGTGTCTTAAGACAAAGTGATGTCTTAAGTCATGCCTCGTCTTCAAGACACACAAAATAATTACTTCTTTGTCTTAAGACGTTAACTTTCATGTCTCAAGACAAAGACAGTGTCTTCACTCATACGTCTTAAGACGTTCTTGAGATGTCTTGGCATAAGAAAATGTCTCAAGACATCTTATAAATACTGTCAAGACATCTTAAGACACAGTGACAGCTGGGTATGTGACTGTATAACCTTCACGCTGCTCCGCTCCATAGCACAAACGCTGTATGTATGAAAGGCCAGCGCGTCCGAGCTGTAGCGCTCACACTGCCTCATCACTCGCCATGCAGAGGCAGCATGTGTGAATCAGGTGTTACAGAGCCTTCAGTCTGACGGCCACAGCTGCCCAGCAAAACACCAAAAACAACCCCTCTGTGGTTTAATTCCTGCTCTGTGTTTACTGGGGATAAATGGCGTTTGGTGAAGTTACTCACAGTGAGCCTGATGACCACGACTGACCTGTTATTTCAGCAGAGGATAATGTGTTTGTGAATAGACACACAAACCTAACATCTCACCTGCTGTACTCCAAACCTTATTAGCTTCGTCTGCCTGCACTGCTGAGATGAGACAGCTGTATACAGCTCTGAAGCTGAGCAATCAGTCTTACAGTGCGCTGCTGGGAGTGGATGCTATATGACTTTTGACACAACCACATGACCTAAACCAATAAGCAAGCTGAGCTAACTACTTAAGCTGACCTTACATTACTGACTTCACTCTGCAAACTGCCGCACAAATACAGAAAAAGTCTTAGTCCAGGTAGCTGTTTGTGAGATTGTTCAATCTCATTTTGTCACTACTCACCTTTTAAAAGCAGATTCTGACCCTTCAAGTCCTCATTCCACCCAATCCAGTCAGTTATGAGCTGAAATATCCTCGTTTTGGGAGGCTGAACAAAGCATAACATCGTCTTAGTGAAGAATGTTTCAGACTGTTTGGCTGAAGTTTTACACTTGATGAATAAACACGATAAAACTGCTCATGTTAATGATGTAAATGTTACTGTAAACAGCTTGCATGGTCGCATCTTGCTTTAAAAGGTAACTTAGTATGCTAGAGTGTGTCGAGCATCAGACATACCCTGCGCCAGCCTCGCCCTGTTTTAATTGGTCTGGAAGTCCTGCCAGTTCTCTATTTACCTGCCTCTCTCTTGTTTCTACTGAATGAACTGTGCTGTTTTTAATGTAATTACACAGCTGAAAAGTGCAACCTCTTAAAATAGTTTCCAGAATTATTTTGCAAAGTGTGTCAATTTATTTATTATATAGTTTTGTATGATGAAATCTATATACTGCTACTGCTGTTTTGTGTTTTAATCCAAATACCTGGAGATGATATTTTAATAAGTTGTAGATACAGGTATAAAAGGTGTCTGCTCTCTGGTGAGCCAAAAAGTCCTCACTGTCTAGATTTGAGCAGCCCTGATTTTGGTAAATAAATAAATACAGATGTAGACAGTGAGGAATGACTTGAGTACATTTATTTCCTATTAGTTGAAGGTTGTTTCAGCTTGGTTGCTCCCTTGTTGTCTCTGGTTACAATTGTACATTTCAAAGTCGAGCAAAGAGCAACATTGTATTAATCATGGCGTGTTTACCGCAAATCACCAAGACTGGGACTGACCGAGATGTGATTGTAACGTTTTCCAATATAGATAAATGAAAAGTTACCATGAACTCAAATGATAAACGCAAATGAGTTTAAACGTTTTAAGGTAGGGTAAACTGTTTATAAACTGGGTTTTGCCACTTGTGTAAGAATCTACCACCACAGTTTGGCAGTGCCACAGGAATACCACTCTCATACCACTTGTAAGGGACCATGCTTTCCTCTCAAAATCTCTGTCTCAGGACAAATTGATGTCTTAAATCAACTTTAGAAGGGTTCACTGACCTGTAGTTAGCAAGAACATAATTTAAATAATCTCAGCTTATTAACACTGCTGACCAAAGAAGATCTGTTTGTATTTACCTCTGGTTGCCAGCAGTTTTACCTGTATGCAAATGGGTTTGTAGTTTGTGGGTGAAAGAAATACATCTAGTCGTTGTTAGCCGTGTTCTAACAGCTAGTAAAAGTATTATTAACATTATTAGTTATTATTAATTATTCATTGTTTTTGTTTAGTGTTATTCACAAAAATGTATGTTTGTTGTTGAAGGTACTAAAGCTATTTACCCTGTTGTTAAATGACTGTCCTTCAGACACGATCAGCTTTTGAGCTCCAGTGGAATCATGGGAGAGTACAGTGCACTCTGGTCATATACATCATTATTTGTTCTGAAATAGTACATCAGGGAATTTTCATGTACTCTGCATATTCAGACACACTAGGCTCATTTTGAATGTTGAGTGTGTTAATAATAATAGTAATAATATTAATAATAACAATAATAATAATAACAATTATAGTACTGCCACTAATAATAATAATAATAATAACAATAATGTTTATATAGCACTTTTAATTCCTGTGGCAGACGGTGATAAAACAGTTATACAAGAAATTGTAAGTATTAATTAAGAATCAGAAGAAAATGACACAGATCAAATAAAAAATAAATACCACAAAACGTAGAGTTTTCATTAAATGCTGAGTTAAAGAGATTCATTTTTAGATGTTTATTAAAAGTGAGCTCTGAGCTTTAAATCTAAACTGAGCTCCACAGTTGAGAAGCAGAACAGCAGAAAGAGTCTCTTCACTTTTCCTGTATTTTACGGAAGATGTTCTGTATTTTTTATGTATTTTTACAGTTTGGTCTATGAAGCTAGATAACTGAGTTTCTCATAAAGCAGCTTTCTCTGAGTTTCTGTACCAACAATCAATATTTCAGTTTTTTCATGATTTAATTGTAGAAAATTTTGCGACATCCACTGAGAAACATCTGACACACAGCTGGTCAGTCTGTCTACAGAGTCTTGATCATCAGAAGGAATGGAAATACACCAATCAGCCAAAAAAACTCCAGCAGCACTGCTGTGTCTGATCCACTCAGACCAGCACAACACACACTAACAAACCACCACCACGTCAGTGTTACTGCAGTGCTGAGAATGATCCACCACCCAAATAGTACCTGCTCTGTGAGGGTCCATGGGGGTCCTGACCACTGAAGAACAGGGTAAAAGGGGGCTAACAAAGTATCAGAGAAACAGATGGACTACAGTCTGTAACTGTAGAACTACAAAGTGCACCTATATAGTAAGTGGAGCTGATAAAATGGACAATGAACGTAGAAACAAGGAGGTGGTCATAATGTTATGCGTGATAGGTGTATAATCGGGTGTCGTCAGCATAGCTATGAAATTTTATATTATGCTTCCTAATGACCTCACCTAGAGGTAGCATGTACAAATGACCATGTTATTGTTTCTCTCCCAGCCTGATTTGTTGTAGTTTCACAAAGGAAAGCTGTGCAGATCTGGCCTCAGTTCTCAGCTCAAAGGACTCAACACTGAGAGAACTGGACCTGAGTAAGAATGCACTGAGGGATTCGGGAGTGAAGGAGCTCTGTGTGGGACTGAAAAGTCCAGACTGTAAACTGGAAACACTCAGGTAAGATCACCACTTTCTCACTGAGGAGGTTCACATCACACACACAGTCATTTTCTAGTCTTTCTCCCTCTCTCAAACACACAGATGAAAGAGAGTTTGTGAATGTATACCGGATGGAACCACTAGAATTCCAGGAACCACTGCTGGTTTTGCGTATCTCAGAATGAATAGGGGTGAGCCTGTGTAGACAGAGATCCAGTTTGTAGGACACAGGGGTGGAAAATACTGAAGTGATCTCTGTTGCAGCACTTACAGGATATTTTGGAAGATTTGTACTTTACTCAAGTACATTTAAGATTTAATCATTCAAATTGTTAACAATAACTCAATAAATGTATTTTCTGATCCTGTGTTCACATGTTGGGGTTGAAAATACCATTGCTGTGTGCTTCATAGCAGTATGCCACAGATGGCAGCATACAGAATTGGACATACATAATAATCAATAAAATTACATTTTATTTATAAAGCACTTTTCATACAGAAAGTTTAAAGTGCTTTACAATAAAAAATAAGATCAAATAATAATAGCAAAGAAACAAGAAAAGCAGAAAAAAACAGAGAAAATAAAACTAAAATGATGAAAAAATAAAATGACTAGTAAATGAAATAAATGACAGCTTGCAAATAAATAAGGAACAAAATGAGGAAAACCAAAATGATGGAAAAATAAAATAAATGACAACAGTATTTAAGTAAAAGCCTGTTTAAAAAGATGTTTTCAGGTGTTTTTTTTTAATGTGAACTGAACTTGACTGCCTAATTGTAAGAGGTAATGAGTTCCACAGTTCAGAAGCGTTTCAGTTTCTGTAGTTTACACTGGGTGTTTGCAGAAGGCCAGAATCTGCTGATCTAAGATCACGTATTGGAAAATAAAGTGATAGACATTCAGTGATGTAAGCGAGTGGCCATTTAGGGCTTTAAAAACCAATAAAAGAATTTTAAGATCTGTTCTGAAACTTACAGGCAGGTAGTGCAGATTTTTCAAACAGGGTTGATCTGATCTCTCTGTTTTGTTTTTGTTAGGATCTGTGCTGCTGTGTTTTGTACGAGTTGTAGACGATGTGTTACATTCTTGGGAAATCCAGTAAAAGAGCATTGCAGTAATCAGTTCTGCTCATGACAAACACATGGACAAGTTTCTCTGCATCGCTCTGGAACAAAGAGGGTCTGACTTTAATAATGTTCCTCAATTTTTGACATCCTAACATGCAGTTTTTGTTAACCCATCAACATATATTGTGTTCCATTCTGGAGGCAGCTGCCTAACTACCCACCTAGCAAATAAGTTCAGGCCCAGATCCGGTGGGATTCCCCCAGTTTTTCCGGCCCAGATCTGGCTGCCGGATCCGGCCCAGAATCAACATTGCCTGCCGGGCCTGAAGTGGCCCAGATGCCTGCAGCCGAATGTGAGCCGACTACAGGCCGTAACTGAGCCAGAACTTGCAGAGGCACCATCATTTCCCATGTCTTTTCCCAGAAGACAGCCGTAATAAACATTCATAATAATTACCAAATAAATTGAAGTCTCTTTTACATTTACATGCCAAAAGTGAATTAGTGAAGGCCACCTACCAAAATATAGATTACATATAAAACAAAACTTTTAAAGCAACAAAATATGAGCTGAGTGTTGACCACTACAATCAACAACAATATCCTAAAACAGAAAAGACAACACTGATTAAATTTTAGATATTTTAATAATTATGATCACAAATATATATTCTTATTCATACAAATTTAGCTTGTTTGAATTAAAATTGACATGTAGAAACACAAACAACTGTCAATTTAGTGAAATTGGTGACTTGCATACAGACCTCCACAAATTAAACAAAGTGCAAGCTAGAGCCATCTCTTGATGGATCTTTCAATGTTTCCATCAGTGGTTTTGCTACACATGGGGTTCCTCTTTACAACAAATGTTCAGGGAGAGAAAAAAGGATAAATCCCAGCTGATGTCTGGAACATTTTGGTGTATTGGAAAATGTGGAAACCGGTTATACAGAAGTTATGTCCAGAGATTTTTGAAAGTGCTGTGAGAGAGTGGTCACATTTTTTTTCTTTTTGCCAAAAACAGCTCAATTTGGTGCCAGGCTGCTTTTTGCCAATGCCTAGCCAACACTTAAACATGTTCATAACCTTAATGTAATAAACAAGTTGATACTCAAAAAACAAGAAAAAAAACATGAGTTTCTCTCCAAACTCTCAAACATATTCACAATTTAACGTATACTATTGAAATCTGACTTGTTATACACTATATTGCCAAAAGTATTCACTCACCCATCCAAATTATTGAATTCAGGTGTTCCAATCACTTCCATGGTCACAGGTGTATAAAACCAAGCACCAAGGCATGAAGTGGTATTATAACAAAGTGGAAGCGATTGGGAACGACAGCAACTCAGCCACGAAGTGGTCGGCCACGTAAAATGACAGAGCGGGGTCAGCAGATGCTGAGGCGCATAGTGCGCAGAGGTCGCCAACTTTCTGCAGAGTCAATCGCTACAGACCTCCAAACTTCATGTGGCCTTCAGATTAGCTCAAGAACAGTGTAGAGAGCTTCATGGAATGGGTTTCCATGGCTGAGCAGCTGCATCCAAGCCTTACATCACCAAGCGCAATGCAAAGCGTTGAATGCAGTGGTGTAAAGCGCCGCCACTGGACTCTAGAGCAGTGGAGACGTGTTCTCTGGAGTGACCAATCACGCTTCTCTGTCTGGCAATCCGATGGACAAGTCTGGGTTCAGTGGTTGCCAGGAGACGGTACTTGTCTGACTGCATTGTGCCAAGTGTAAAGTTTGGTGGAGGGGGGATTATGGTGTGGGGTTGTTTTTCAGGAGTTGGGCTCGGCCCCTTAGTTCCAGTGAAAGGAGCTCTTAATGCTTCAGCACCAAGAGATTTTGGACAATTTCATGCTCCCAACTTTGTGGGAACAGTTTGGGGAGTTTGGCCCCTTCCTGTTCCAACATGACTGAGCACCAGTGCACAAAGCAAGGTCCATAAAGACATGGATGAGCGAGTGGTGTGGAAGAACTTGACTGGCCTGCACAGAGTCCTGACCTCAACCTGATAGAACACCTTTGGGATGAATTAGAGCGGAGACTGTGAGCCAGGCCTTCTCCTCTAACATCAGTGTCTGACCTCACAAATGCGCTTCTGGAAGAATGGTCAAAAATTCCCATAAACACTCCTAAACCTTGTGGAAAGCCTTCCCAGAAGAGTTGAAGCTGTTATAGCTGCAAAGGGTGGGCCGACATCATATTAAACCCTATGGATCAAGAATGGGATCTCACTCAAGTTCATATGTGTGTGAAGGCAGACGAGCGAATACTTTTGGCAATATAGAGTAACTTGTATGCATTGCAACAAATTGTCTTTCTTTGGGCTCCATGGTGCAACACACAACAGTAGAACGTAACACAGGACTACACAGAGTGCAGATACATGACAGAGTGAAATGAGTGCAGAATATGCAATAAATACACCAAACCATAAATATACAGAACAATAAATGAAGAAGACGGAGTCTGGTGGTGCTGGAATGAATACTCTGGTACCTTCTGCCAGATAACAGGAGGGTGAGGAGTCCATCAGAGGGGTGGGAGGGTCATCCACAGTGTTGGTGGCCTTGTGGATTCAGCGCTAGTGGTAGGAGGTGTTGATGGAGGGTAAAGACACTGTTAATTATGATGGAAACATGAATAATGCAGGTAAAGTGTTCCTGTTTCAGTGTTCAGCTGTATGTAAGTTGAAACGCAGGCTAATTGTAACGTTGTAGTGTTATAACTATTCAGTGACTCAGCAGCTGCACAAACTAAAACATGCCATAACTTTTGCACAGGCCACATTTAGTTTGATGTTTTCCAGTATGTTAAATTCAGTAATTGTGTATTAAGTGTGCAGAAGTGAGTCTCTGTAGAGGAAGTGTAACTTATTTACACACAGAAAATCAACACAACATGGAATTTGACCAGGGGTGCACAAACTTTTGCGTATGAGTGTAAATTGTGAACAGAGTGTAAATCAGAACATGTGTTTGTGTTTCTGCTGTTGTGGTTTATTGATTCTGTAAATGAGCTGCAGGTTTTGTTCCTCATGTTCCAGTTTTAGTGTGTTAATGATGGTGAAACTGTGTTCTGGGTCTGTTTTGCTTCTACAGTGTCTCAGAATAAATGAGCTGAAAATCAGTGAACTGTGAAAACAGTATTTTCAGAAACTGTAATGTTTATCAAATATGTCAAATGATCAAATCTCTCATGTGGAGAACAACATTGAGTGTATTGCAGCTTTTTACGTTTGTTTGTGTGTGTGTTAGTGTTTAATCTGTGTGTTACTTGTTTCTTCATTGAGTATATATACACACACAGACACACAAATGTAGATACTGGTTCAGCTCCACTCAAGTATATTTTTATCTCCAAGCTTATAAATATAAGACTGTAAGATTTGGACACGTTGTGTTTTCAGTAAAGTGTAGTTTCTCAGGTCTGTGATGATCAGAAGAGGCAGGAACATTAAGCACTTTAGGAAAGGTGCAGTGCCCTTAACTGGGTGATCACAGACTTGTGGTTCTGGATTTAACACTCGGTTGTTGGCCAGAGAACAAAGCCCCCCTGCTAAGCAGAGAGGGGTAATAATCTCACATGAACTTCATATGAATGGTACATTAACAGTTTACTGCAAAAGCCAGCTGGGTAGATTATCCCTCATTCAGCAGAGCAGGGCTCAACACTGACACAGAACAGGCTGATCAGATGTTTATGTAGCTGAAACTGCTAGTTAGTGAAACTGGTCACTTAAATGACCTTATGGTAGATCAGAGTCCATGTTTGTAGAGAGGAGTTATTAATAAACCGTGGGCTCAGTGAGCTGCCCGAGTCACAGGTTGGGTATAAAATATGAAATGTATTCCAGCTATGATTCTGAATAAAAACAGAATTACATCCTCAGCCACATTCACAGTAACTGGATTCCACTCAGTTGCTCTCGAGAAGTTGTTCTGAATGTTCAAGTCTTCAGTCAAATAGCATCAATATAGGTGTTCAGTGTCATTCAACTGAAGTTTGTTTCTCTTTCCTTCTTTTCTTTTTTAACAAATCACACTTGTAATTACTGATATCCTGATTGCACATCATTGCTTTTAACTGGTATAATCAGTAAGTAATTCAGTTTTTAAAATGAACTTCAACCATAAACGCAATGACTCATATGCACAAAACTCATATTTCAGCAATAAAACGAGTCATACTTATTTCCTTACTGAAGAACAGTACTGAGCCCTTCCAGATGAACCAAAAGAAAATGTAACATTTAAAAGCTCCTAACCTGATGTTAGCAATGATGTAGTCTAAACTACAGCTGTACTCCTTTTTGTGGAGTTGACAGTTCACACTAACGGCCAGCTGGAGGCACTGTTCCTCCAAAAACTCAAAAATGATGGCTATTTACAGCTCCAATTAGCTTAAGGTTAAGCACTCTGCTCATTTGTTTCAATAGTTTTTTTTGACTTTAACACATACATTTGTTTAATTAAAGCACTTAAAACATTACTCTCAGTACTAACAGTTCAGACTCAATTGAAGCTAAGCTAGAATGGCAGTATTGCGTGAACTCATGGTTGAATGCTATGCATTTGCCAGCTCAACTGAAACTTTCACTCCCCAAGATAGAAGATAATATAAAGCAGGAACCGATTTTCAGAATCGTTGTTCTTGGTTTTGTTGTAAATCTGTGATCTTGCCATGGAAGAGATTGAGGAGAGCGGGGTTGCTGCAGAAATAATGGTGGTTTTATTAAAAGAAGAGCGCTCAGTATACCTGCCTTAGTCTCATCCCAATCTACACAGCAGCTCAGACACACAGCTTTTATGCTATGCTACTGACCCCCCACCCCCAATAAAGTCATAAAGAACAGAGTGGGACATTTAAATCCTGTCGTAAATACCTCACCGTGTTCTGGCCAGGATATCCTCCTTAGGGGGTGTTGAAAGGCCATTTGGTGTAATTGTTCAAACCACAAGAACAGAAATTGACGTGGCTTCTTAAACGCTTCAGCATTAATACTGTTTAACAATGAATAACAATTAAACAAAGGAAAATAAACAGAAAACTAGAAAATACATCAAAATAAA